GTATGCCAGAACAACTATCTACATTTCATCCGGTATGATGGACTTCATTCAGGACAATTCCAAGAAGCGTGGCAATAGACCCGTCGACAAACAGTGGACTGGAAAGACCCTTTGCCGTGTATTTGGACCATACAACAGTGACTATCAAGTGGAAGCATCGGAAGTTCGGGAAGCACTTACTGATTTTGAATTTGTAGGGCACGAGAAAATGGGTGATTACATGGTGTCGCTCTTCCCTCCCAAGTGCATCCGTGGTATCTTCGTCGAGGACAACCAAGCCACCATCAGGATCTTGGAAAACGGTAAGTCGCCTTCATTTCGTCATACTGAAAACCCAACGGATCAACTTGTCATGGTTATCAGAGCAGTACAAGAGGGGATGGCACGATTTGACTATATATGGACCATCAAAGATGCAGGTAGCAGACATTTTGACTAAGCCGTTCACCAATGCCGAGAAATGGCGGTTTACCCTGGCCCTCATGTCCCACGTAGCCACCAAAGGAAGTAGGACCAATTCCTCCAGTTCCGCGGGGGCAACAGCTGGTACGCCACGGCCCAAGGCTCTGGCATCCAGTCGAAGCTCCGGGGAACCGGGAGCCGGTCTGAAGCCCAAACGTTTGCTCGTGGAGATTTGCTGCAGTCCCATGTCAAAGTTGAGTGATGTTTCAAGAGAAGCAGCCGCTGGATGTAGAGTGATTCAGTTTACAGGGAAACATAGTCTTTTGGATGAAGAATATCAGTTGTACGTTGCTGGCATTGTGAACGATTTTCCAGTGTCCAAAGATGTCCTCTTGTGGCTGAGCCTCCCTTGCACGGGGGGCACATCGTGGTCTCATGTGAATTTGAAGATCCCAAGTGCCGCTAAGAAGGTTATGAAGCATGTCAAGACTATGAAGAAACTATGGAAGGCATTTGAACGATTTATTCGACTGCTATCCAGAAGTTTTGACGTTGCAATTGAATGGCCTCAGAATTGTCGGTACTCCCGAGAGTCCTGAAGTTCATAAATGAATACTCACTGAAGAGATATGACTTCCATGGATGTATGCTCGGCACCAAAGACCACGAGGGAAATCCTATCAAAAAGCCCTGGATTGTCGCAACTACTATTGATGAAATTGGTTTGGAATTGTCCCAGTATCAATGCGACGAGTCACATGACCACGTGCAAGGGAGAGGAAAGCCACTCAAAGAAACTGAAAGCTATTCCTACCTTTTTACAGATTGTGCGCACAAAGCTTTTGATCGGGCAGCTCAATCTGCTCGAACGTTCGCGTGTGCTGTGATTGCTCTTTCCGACTCGTTTGTCCGTTCTTCGACAATGGCGGCTTCATTCTGTTCCTCCTCACGTGGAAGAGGCTCGGCGACTGGGTTTAAGCTTCCCGGAAGGGCAGCCGGGTACTGAACATGCCTACTGGCGAAAGGACGCAAGTTTTCAAGTGGAACGGATTCCTCCCGAGTACCGTCTCACAATCTATGAACGTGTACAGCAGTGGGAGAAGCGCTTGGCTGCCGTTCGTGGCACCTGCGTTCCTTGCGTATTCCCTGATGGATACGAAGGAGCCAACAAGATCGGCTCAGGGCAAGTCCCGATCGGAGATGTCCTTGAGGCGCTCGTCGGCCATGATGGGAACGACACCCAGAAGACGTACCAAGACTTCATCGAGGTGGTCAAAGACATTCCCGCGGCTCTTTTCGGGTCTGTGGAATGCCCACCGGAAGGCGAGGCCGATCTGATTATTGTTGGTGACTCATCATTTGCCTTGGTGGCCAATCATGACAACCCCACTACGTGTTCTCGTCTGGCTTTCGGTGAACTTCTCCAGGCCAAAGAGTACGCCCTCACACAGATCAGGACACTTTACCCTGGCTTGAAGTGGGGAAAGGCGCTTTCTGTGATCAACCATCAGGTGTGGGAGCTCATTGAGAAGATCGAGCGGGAGAACAGACTCCAAAGTCGCCCCTCACTCCCGATCTTGGTCGTTGATGGGCCGGTAACGACGTTCATGGAGATTTCGGGTATCAGGGATGTACCTGGATCCATTCCACAAACCTCACAAAATCAGAAGCTGACTGGAAGGTTGCAGCCGACTATGCCGAGAAGCAATACAAGAAAGTCCCGCGTTCTTTGGAGGGTTTGGTGGAAATTCACAATGACCCAAGGGTGCTCTCTGCGCAAGTTATCGGGAACGGTGACCATACTGGCTACTCCTTGCCCCCTTCGTACAACAGGGAAATGGGGAAACACATGAACTGGTTGGCAGAACGTGGAGTGCAATGTGTCAGTTAATGCCTGCCCAAGCTGGAAAATATGATAACTATCACCTTCACGATCATCAGTTCAACAGAAAGCTTGCGTATCGCTTAATGCGAGGGGCAATCACGCTGCACTTGAAGTACGTGGAGATCATGACCAAGCGTGACGACCTCCGCCACTACGTCGAGAGCTTCATCAAGAATGAACAACCCTAATCTTCCTAGAAGCTTTGTTTTAGAGCTGGCAGCTTTAATTTGGCATTCTAGGGTCCTAGAAGCTCATTTGGGAAGCTCTAATTTAAAGCTGGCAGCTTTAAATTAGAGCTGGCAGCTCTAAATTAGAGCTTCCCAAACAGGGCTGGCAGCTCAAATTTAAGGCAGCCGCCTTAAATTTGAGCTTCCAGGATTTTTGGTTAAAACACCACCCTAGAAGCTCTAAAATAGAGCTTCCCAAATGAGCTTCTAGAAGCCCTATTTTTTTGGCATGCCTGCAGCCCATTTTTGCAAGAGAAAAATGAACATATACACACATACATATTTATTTATATATTTATATAGATAGATAGAATATATACATGTATTTGGCAAAGGTTGCAAAGGAACCATATTTAATCAACATATATGGTCTCACATACTTTTTGATCACAACTGCAAGCTGATTTCATCGCCATGGCAAAGCTCTTGCCTGTGAAGCCTGTGGAAAGGCTGGAAAAGGACAAAGTCAAGCAGCTGGCAGCATTGATCAAAGGCTGCATACCTGATTGCAAACTTGAATACTTCCCAGCAGATCCAGAGAAAGCTTGCAATAGGCTGCAAGCCTTTCTGTGTTTGTGGTACCCAGCCACAAGCAACAAGAAAGCAGATGAGAGGAAAGCTTTCTCAGAAGCCTGTGGAAGGCTGGAAAGCCATGAGGCAAAAGCGATTGTGAACAATCTTCATGAATACAAAGCTTGGCTGCTTAGAAAAAAAGAAACTTAAAGACAGGTGAAAGAACAGACCCTACCCTCATGGCCTTGTTCAATGCAATCCTGCAAAAGGATAACCAGGGAATCAATAGAAGCAGCAGCACCATGAAGATGAGGGGAGAAGAAGAGCTTGAGAAAGCTAATGAAAAGCCTGTGAAAAGGCTACGAAGCAAACAGCCTCTGAATGACAAAGCAGAAGACAAAGCAGAGGTGCCAAAGCCTGCAAAGGCCATATGCTTTGCTTTTGACACCCCTGGGACCCTGGGAGCCAAAAGTCCAAAAGCTTTGACATAGTGTCTGTTTCCAGTTCCAGTGGTGGCTTTCTGGCACCTGGAGAGTTTTCAGAAGAGCCACCTGAGCCTGCAAAGGCTGGAAAGGCAGGCGCAGAAAAGAAGCCTGCTGCTTATGTGCCTTGGAAAAGGCCAGCTGAAGCAAAGGTAGTAATAAAGAAGCCTGCAAAGGCTAGAAATAAGAAAGACTGGGTAGTGTCAAAAAGCTTTGGTTTCATCCATGAAACCAAGGCTTCCCAGAAAGCATGCATCAATGCAAAGCCAGAGATGGCTGACAAACCACATTGTCTAGTCAATGTTCAGCTGGCAGCAGGCCAGCTGCAGGACATGGTGATGAAGAAAGTGTTTGCAAGGCACAGGAAGAAACTATGACAAAGGCAAGCTTGGTTCACTACAAGAATGAGCTTTTGGAAGCTGGGGACAGCTCATAAATTGCAAAGCCTGTGGGAGGCTGTCAAAGTCAAGCTGGAAAGAGTTATTGAAGATGGAGACAGCTCTGTGTGAAGCTTGGGAAATGCTGAAAATTTCTGGTAAACCACCAAGGAGCTTGCAAAAGGCTACCAAGACCTATCAGCTTTCGAGTTTTGAAAAAAATGTAGCAGCTTGCTGCAGCAGCATCTGTAGAAATGGGAAGGGGGTCAGCTGGCAGTGCAGAAGTATGCAACCCTGCTGCATGTGCAACTCTGCTGCATGGGCTCAAAACAGAACTTGTAGAAGATGAGGACATGGGGGGTGGGAAGGAGGAGCCTGCCGAGGCTGGTAAAAAAAAGAAAAAGAAAAAGAGAAGAAAACGCAAAAAAAAAGCAAGGGAAAGATGAGCCTGAGGATCCTGGGGATGGCCCTGATGGCCCAACAGGAGGCCCAGGAGGAGCCAGTGATGGCTCAAGAGGCTCTGGCCTGGGGCCTCCCTGGCTGCAACTTGAAAAAGCTAAGGCAGCCAAAAAAAAAGCCCGCGGCTAGGAGTGAAAGCTTGAGAAAGGCTTAGGAGGTAGCCTGGGAAGGCTGAATGTAGGCAGCTTGGAAGAGGCTCCCAGCTGCAAACACTGCAGCTCCTGGCACAGACCAGTGAGAGTTTTTGAAAAACAGGACTGCTGCAAAGGGGAAGGGGATGGGCTGGTTGAAGACCACAAAAAAAATAGTGGCAGTAAGTAAGGGATAGGGAGTACCCACAAAAGCCGTTTGGATGGGGAAGGTTTCCTTTTTGGTTGCTGAGTTTTGCAGAAGCCTGCAAAGGCTTAAAAAAATATAAATTGTGGTTTTCAGACAAAAAAGTCTGAATTTCAGACTTTCAGACTTTTTACTTTATATTTAAGTTATTAATTAAAACTATGAAAATCTAAAAGTCTGAAAGTCTGAAAGTCTGAAATTCAGACTTTTGGGACTTTTTCCCCAGAAAATGAAGCTGATCACCAAAAATTCTGCAGCCTTTTGGCACAAACTAGAAAGGGTTTTAGGGATCTAGTCAGGCATGAAACGGCCTGCAGCAATGATAAAACAGGAGAAGCCAACTCCAAAAAAAAAGGCAAGAGAACAGGAGCCTGCAAAGGCTGAGTTGGGAACTGAGCCTGGAGAGGCTGAGCCTGGAGAGGCTGACAGCCAGCAAGTGGCTGATCAGGAGCCTGCAAAGGCTGCACCTGCAAGTGGCTCCAAGCCTGAAAAGGCTTTGCCAGCAATGGCCACAGAGAAAGCCAAAGCTAAGGCAAAGGCCTTGCCAGCTCCTAGCAAAGCACAATGGAATGATGTGCATTACACAATGAAGAAGCTTGAGAAAGCTGGCAAGATGGATTTGCCTGAGACATGGAAGAAAGCTTGCTTGGGAGGTCACCAATGCAAGCGTGAGTTTTACTACCACACATTTCTCCTAGATCCAGAGGCCAGCAAAAAAAGAAGTTCATAAGATTAGCCTGGAAAGGCTTTCGGTGGAATCAACCAAGTTGAGAGGTTGGTTCACCAAATGGCAGCTTGGGGAAATGCAAGGTGCAGTCGCCACCCGCCCCATGTTTGAACAGCTCTGCATAGAAGCCTGCAAAGGCTTACCTGAAAGAGATCATGAGAATGAAGCCTGGGCAAGGCTGGGTGTGAAACAATACTATTTCGAACATTTTGAAGCTGAGAAGGAAAGGCATGTGAATGAAAGTACAACTGCGGCCAAGCAAACAGTGGAAGTCTCTGACAGGCAAGATTTCCAAAAGGCAGAGAAGGCCCTCATGGCTGAGCCAGAAAATGGCCAAGTGGTTTTTGGAAAGAAAAGCCACAAGGCTGAGGCAGCCGCCAGTGCAGGGGAAGAAAAGCCTGAGGAGGCTTACAAAAAACCATACCAAAGCCTGAATAAGGCTGTGAAGGCTTTCTCAAGTGCAGTTGACAAGCTGCAGTTGCTGAAGACAAGCTTGGCAAAAAAGCAGAAGGAGCAGCCCAATGCACAATTGGCTGCCAGTGTAGGTGAAATGGAAAGCTTGCAAAATCAACATGAAGACTTGAAAAGTCAGTGGGTCACCAGGCTGGCTGCAGTTGCCAGCTCATTCCCTGCTGATGCAGCCAGTGATGGCTCAGAAACTGAGAAGCTTCAGCAATGGAAGCAAGAAATTGAGGAGCAAAACAAAAGCCTGGGTAAGGCTTTGAACCCACACAGATTGTGGGCCAAGAATGCAGGTTTCATTTAAACCATGTGGCCTGCACAAGTTTTGGGGAGGGATTGAAGCCTGGAAAGACTGCTAAAAGTTTTGCACATAGTAGAAGCTTGGAAAAGGCTCGACCGAACCTGCAAAGACAGGTACATAGCAACTTGTGCCCCTGCTGGAAAAAAGAAAGCAGCTGCAGCTGCTGCTGCTGCTGGTTTTGCTAGGTAGCTGTGTGCACATGTTCAGCAGGTCAAACAAAGGTTTGCTGGCACTGCCAGGTGAGCTCCAAATTGCTTTTTTCCTCGCAGCCACTTTAACTTCAAGCATGAAGCTCTGGTTTGTTCTAAAAGTTTTTTCTGCATGTTTTTTTCTCTAAATGGTTATAAATTTGTTAGCCAATACCTGGCTCTAGAAGAGCATGCTGTAACTTGGGACCTGCAAAGGCTTGCACCCTAAAGATGTATGGAACTATCGAGATGAAACATTTGGGTATACAATGCAGCAGCTATGGTTCAGAAGAGGTGGCAAAACCAAGAGCCCCAAAGTCGAAAGTGAATCAGTTTTGCTAAGGTTGGCAAACAGCACAGAGACCTGGAGCTTGCAAAAGGCTATGGAAGCAAAGCTTGAAAAAGCTAACAGGGAAGCCTGAGAGAGGCTTAATGTATGAGAGCCAATGAGCTCCAAGACTTTCGTGAATGCCAGAAAAAGAAGCTGCTGCTGTGTGCAACATGGTGAACATATGTAATACATGATCAATGTTAAAATCTAAAGAAAACATTGCCTGGAGAAGCTCTAAATTAGAGCTTCTAGAAGCTCTAATCTAGAGCTTCTAGAGAAGATTTATCATTGCTCTAGAAGCTCTAAATTAGAGCTTCTAGTGATTTTTGCTAGAAGCTCGAATTTAGCGCTAGCGCTAAATTCGAGCTTCTCATTTTTGAGCTTCTAGAAAAGAGCTTCTAGGAAGATTAGGGAAGACCGTGTGGCCGCAGTCCGACTCTTCCCAACAATGGTTCAATTTCGACTAGCTTTGTCTCGAACTCAGGAAGCCATGCAAGCCCTCACACCTGAGCAGAAGACGGCAGCTCCTGCACAAGTCTTCGACCAGGCTGATGAAGAGATTCTCATGTGGGTGCATGCAGGGATTCTTGAGGCAAACGACGAAGCCACCCGGGAGGATCGGCCGAAACCAACGGACTT